ACAAACAGGTATTTCTGTTTACCCAGTTGCCTCCTGCTCCTCCCAGTTTTAATTTCCTTATTTTTCATGCGCTGCACCTCGATTCTGAATCCCCCTTCAAGAAGGCAGGCGTGAGCCACCATGCTGCTCGCTTCCCTGCCGCAGGGTCGCTATTGGAAGGATTACGTTTGGGAAGGTCTTGCTGAAGGGAACGTTTATGTACAACAATTGCACAACGTATTGTTATTAGGCTGTGTATCATTTTGTGTTGACCTCTCTGCTTTCACTGTCTCTATTACCAATACAGCCCCTTTAGTTCATAACCGTGCTCGTTTACGTTGCTTCCCACAGAATTCCGGCCAGCGGCGTTAGCTGCAGCCAGAGAAATGCCTTGCACAGTCAGGTTTTTCAAGGCAGTCTGCTTTTGAAGGCTTCCCTGGCAAGTGAGAGCACACTCGGGGCTACCGAGTGTATGTAAGTCACTGGATCAGAATGAGAGGGGACTGCAGGTGACCCTCTCCAGCAGGCCCTATGCAGCGTGCTGGGTTGCTTGCTCGCTCTTCCATGTAAAGGAAGCACATACTCAAGTGGATCGAAGGCCAGAACAGACCAGTATCCCAGCACGGAGACCTCGCTGACCAGGGATGTTATGAACCTAACCCTGTCTATGCTGACTGGTGCAGTGTGTGCCAGCAGGATGAGAATAAAGCAGCGTCCGAGACATGTTACGAAACAGGAAGAAAGAAAATCAGGGAGCTACAAGGTCCAATTATTTTATTTAAGGCCCTGCAGAGGCACTTCCATCCTGGGGAGTTGTCAGTAAATTTCCTTCCTCTGATTCTCGGAGGCACAACGTGGCTACCAAGCGCTGATGCACTGGCGAGGTGGGTAGATCTTCTCAAAGCTCGAGCACCCAGATCTCAAGTTGGATGCTGTCTGCCTGCAGAGAGAGAACCTACCTCCAACCTGTTTTTGTGGAGGTAGGATTCCTTTGGTCTTATCAGTCTGCGTGGAGGAGGAGGAAACATCTTTAACTCGGCTCTGGGGACAGACAGTCTTTAGGTCACAATACCCAAGTTACCCTCTGAAACAAAGAGCTTCGTGTCTCTTCAGCTTACGGCTGAGTTACAGGAACCAAAAAGGTGGCCTGTGCTCCACCTGGGCTGGAGGTCCTCTCCAAAAGGGAGAAGGAATTGCCCTCCTGCATCAGGCTGACAGCCCTGACTGCACTCTGGGTAAGGCAGCACCACCCTGAGCTCTCCTGACCCCATTTCCCAGCCCAAAGTGTGCTGCGATTTGGTGCGTCTCTGTCCCCTCAATCCTCGGAGCAAAAGCTTCCCTACGAGGGAGGCTTGGAGAGGATAAACAAGCACAGCAATTTGAAATGCTGATCCTCACCCTCGGGGGTGGCACAGTGGTGAGGAGGAAGAGCTGGCAGGAGAGTCATTTGGTCAGCAGGGTGAATTCTTGAGTGCAATCACATTGTCCAGCAGGTGTAAATAACAGCAATCAGCAACCCTATGGCCACAGCTAGGGCAGCATTCTTCCGATTTTCCTTACGGAGAAGGCTCAGTTCTTTCTCTGGGAAACAAAGAAAAGCTTTACTTGTGAGTGTTCTTTGTGTTGCAGCTATATCCCCTTTAAAAACTGTCTTAAAAGCACAATGCTGCCTTGGCCACGGGCAACTCTTCTGGGATCAGTATGCAAAGCTGCCAATTATAAGATGTGCTGAAGAGGAGGTAAACCAGCAGGAACCCTTTCAGTTGCTAACTCCCTTCCTGTCAATCTCGGTAGCTGAGCTTGGGAATACTCGGAGCCAGAGCATTCACGTTCGAAATGACCTTGTTCTAGGACCCTACTGAGGACAGAATGGGTCATTAGAAGAGCTGTTTGTTCCCTAGGAGAATGAAGGCAGAAGGAGAATGGAGGCAGAGGCTAGACAGCTATTTCTTCTACCTTCTAGACTTAACAGCCCGGTACCTTTTCCTAGTGCTTAAAATACATCTGTGGCCACCTCTGAATGCTGCAAATCTGGGGTTTTCCTTGTGCCTCAAAAGGATGAGTGTGGATCAGGTCTGTGCTGGCACACTCATTCTGTTGGGGTCTGCAGCTTTTTAGGGATAGGTCACTTTCCCTGGCTTACAAAAGCAGAAACACAGATGCAGAGAGAGGAATTGGCTACCAAAAGTGATGGAGGAGTTCTACTGCTCTCCATTCCTTTTACCAAAGATGAGAACCCCATTCTCACTAGTTCGGCTCCACAAGGCTTTGCGGGGTGGTACAGGCAAGCAGTGCGGCCTACAGCCTTACGCACTGCGCGGCCAAACTGCAGCAATTACTGTGCAGAGCAAGGCTGCGTGCAGATTCCCCAGGGCCAGGCTGCTCTTGCTGTGGAATTCAGCTGCTGTGACTGCTCCGGTTACTTCCTCTGCAGTCTGCAGGGGTGATGCCCTGCTGCTGCAGGTTCCCAAACCGGTGCTGCTATCAAGAGAGGCTCTTAGCTGTTCTTTCTGCCCCCATTCTTCACATGGTACAACCATTTTCCTGCAGCTGAAGGGAAGCTGCTGAATCTTGTACCCCGAAGTTGTGAAATTCCTCCCAGGATTTCTGACTCTTAGGATTAGCCCTAATCAATAGCGCATTGTTTAGAAACAGGATGATTAGATAGCATCTACCCAAGGTCTAGCAGATGTTCAGGAGATGATAGCTAAACATGCAAGTGTTGCAACCTTTGTACTTCTAAATCACTTGTGATCCTGATAAAGCGTGTATCTACGGAAGCATGTGGACCAGTAACAAGACTCCTTACTTCCTCACTCAATCACCAGATGACCACCAGAAGTAACTGTGTTATCATCAAAAGCACAATAGATGGCCGTAAAGACCATGGGATAATTAAGAAAAAGCTGATGTAATGTAAAAGATGTTACTACGTAAATGATTTCTGGAAAACTAATGAATATGTAATATGTATGGACATAAAAGCAGTGTGATGGTGCCAAGCTAGCGGAGCACTTACGGTGGAGAATCCCCAGTGCTACCCCAGCGCTGCAATAAAGAATACCTGCTTAACAGTATGAAACTCTGCTGTTGAGTCAAATTTCTTTGTTTCACAGCCACACAGCAAACAGCTTTAATCTGCAAGAGGAGGTGGTAGGGGCAGGAGATCACATAACTCCAAGCACGGCGATGCCATTGTTAGCAACTACAGATTCATGGCCTCAAGTGTGACAGCTGGAATAAACAGGGATCTAATCCGCTGTTCCAGGAGGAGCAGCCATCACCATTAGGTGAGGCTGTTGCTACTGTCTGAGCAGCCTGTCAGACTGCTCTGTTAATGCTGACTGCTGGTAAAAGGGTGGCAGCAACGTGCAGCGTCTCTAGCGGTAGGCCCTTAGGGAACAGCTTTGAATGTGTTTAAAATAACTGTTAGTCTTCTGGAAACAGTCCTTCAACATGAGTTAAAATTATAAATTTGCTGGCTGTGCCTCAGCTTTCAGCTCTCCAGGCCCAGAAGAACACTT